GGGGGGGGGAGTACAGACATTTCATGCAAAAACCTTCTGTTTGCACAGAAATTTGTGAGTGGAATCATTGAAAGTAAGATGCATCTCTTGGATATATGGAAAAATGGATTCTGGCTCGGCCTCACCGACATGCATGAAGAAGGAAAGTGGATGTGGATCAATAATGTCACTGAGACTGAAAGCAGGTGGGAACTGCAGATTTATTCTGTAGAGTTTGTATTTAGTGTATTTTGTTGCTGGCTGCTGTAAAAGTTTTAATTGTTAAAGGTACTGGATGGAAGGGGAGCCAAACAATGCTGGCCACAGAGGAGAGGACTGTGCGGTTGCAGTTTATGGTCCTGATAATCCGTGGAAGACGCGCTACGATGACAGCTGCCACATAAAACGTCTGAACTGGATCTGTGAAGTCACGCCCAACTGAATCTGTTCAGTTCATTTTATTGACAGCAAACTTTTCAAACAAGCCAAATTCAAAGCACTGCACAAATCAACAAGATGTAAAAACCAACAGCCACTGAATTATCACAATCAATCTTCAGATAGCAATGACCACCAAGTCCGACACCCCTTCTCAAACAGAAGATTAAAAAAAAGTTAAACTAAGACAGTACAGATAAAACACGTTTTCTGTAAAAAGCACAATATATTACAAATTTCAATTTATTTGTGTGTTTGGGATTCCATGGTATTGTGTTTAGTGTATTTTTTGGTGTTAAAAAAATTAATGTCCTTGTTCTGTAAACTTTTTTTGACCAAATTAAAATCCAACATTTATTGTATATTTTTTTCTCTTCTGCATACAATTGTTTTGACATCCTTCAAAATGACTGAGAATAATAAAAAACACAATGCTGTAATCAGTTTGATATCACCTGCTCCCATGTATGTTTGTGTTTATGTTCGTCTATGGTGTTAATAAAATATCTCATGAACCAATAGATAGATTTTAGTGAAATTTAGATAGTAATCAAGTCATTAAGACGAAAAAAGTGTGCAAAACTGAAAGAATTTATTACAAGCAACTTTTCTTCTGCATATGATTCTAAAGATCTCCAGAACTGAAAGATGTAACTTTAGGCCTACCATTAGGGGAGTTATGCTTTCTGCCTTATTTTTTATTTATTGAAACATTTACTTTTGTAAAACAATTGAGCATATTAGGTGGTTAAAATGCAATGTAATGCTTTAACTGTGATTTACTTTACCGTTTTCTCTGTATTTACTCTGCATCTTTTCTGTTCCACACCAATTCAACAATTAAGAAAAGGTAACCTCGCACCCCCACTTTTTTCCAACAGTAATAAATATTTTACATTTTTAGGACGACACGTCATACCGAAATTTCTCAAATTTTCAAGAGTAGGCCTTTGTATTTATATGGTGCATTACAATTTGGCTAGGAACTACAATATGCACTATGACACATGTTTCAACAAATTCAGCCATAATGTGACAAAAGCAGACTACAATGGCATTGTCAGCAAATATGATTAAACGTAATTTAATCGTAAACGTCTTTTTTTCATTTGACCTTTATTTATATAGGTAGTCTCACTGAGATCCAGAATCTCCTTTCCCATTATAAAACAAAATTTACAAACACACACACACACACACACACACACACACACACACACACACACACACACACACA